GTGACCGTGAGTTTGACCATAAACGAAGGATGCTATGTAAGGAAATCGGGCAAAGCTTGCGTAAGGACCGAGAAGCCTGGTGGTCGATGCGTGCTAATGAGCTGGAAGCAGCAGCTGCATCTGGTAACTACCGGAAGCTCTTCCAACTCATCCGAGCCACTGGCAGCAAGAAGTCTGGTGTGAGTGAAACAATCTGCGAGGATGATGGGATGCCAATCGCTAACATCCATCGACGTCTTGGACGATGGGCAGAATTTTTCGAAGGGCAGTTCAACTGGCCTGCTGCTCCGGCAACATCGGTCAGACTGTCCTGCCCTCCATGGCCGGTGACGACTGATCCACCAAATGAGGAGGAAGTCCGCAAGGAACTCCAACTCTTGAAGCGTTACAAATCACCTGGCCCAGATGACTTACCTCCGGCTCTTTTTAAAGATGGTGGTGACTTTTTGACTAAGGAATTGACGACGTTGTTTACAAAGGTTTGGGAACTAGAGAGTGTACCAACGTCATGGAATGAGTCGATAGTTGTCCCTATCTTTAAAAAGGGTTCACGTCGTTCTTGTAACAACTATCGGAGGATAAGTTTACTTCCGATTGCGTCCAAGCTATTGGCTTCCGTCATTCTTCGTAGGTTGTTCAAAACCCGAGAAAGATTGACTCGCGAGGAGCAGGCTGGGTTTCGTTCTGGTCGAGGATGTATTGATCATATCTTCACCCTCCGCCAAATGTTAGAACACCGCCATACTTTTCAAAGGCCAACAATCGTAGTGTTTCTTGACATCAGGGCTGCCTTCGATTCGTTGGATAGGACTGTTCTCTGGGATTGTCTGTTGAAGAAGGGTGTGCCTGAGAAGTTTATTAACATCCTAAAAGCCCTGTATAAAAACACCTCAGGCAGAGTGAGGGCATACAACCACCTCTCTCCATTGTTCCATTCGAGCAGTGGGGTTAGGCAGGGTTGCCCAATCTCACCATTCTTCTTCAACTTTGCCATCGATGACATTCTGGAAACAGCTCTGATGAATGTAAGTAATGGTGGTGTGGATCTGTTGCCTGGAGAAAGACTTCTCGACCTTGAGTATGCGGACGATATTGTCTTACTGTGCGATAATGCCCAAGGCATGCAATCCGCACTTAATCAGTTGGCAATCAATGTCCGTAGGTATGGTATGTGCTTTGCACCTTCGAAGTGCAAAGTACTTCTACAAGACTGGCAGGATTCTAATCCTGTACTCACCCTGGACGGTGAGCAGATAGACGTAGTTGAGAAGTTCGTGCATCGAGGTAGCTGCATAAGTGCTGGTGGGGGTGTGAGTGATGAGATCAATGCACGAATAGTGAAAGCCAGAGCGGCTTATGCCAATCTGGGCCATCTATGGCGCCTTCGTGATGTTAGTCTGGCCGTAAAAGGTCGGATCTACAACGCGTCGGTGAGAGCAGTTTTGCTCTATGCTTGTGAAACCTGGCCTCTCCGAGTTGAGGACGTTAGACGACTCTCTGTGTTCGATCATCGCTGTCTCCGAAGGATTGCTGACATTCAGTGGCAACACCATGTCAGTAATGCAGAGGTTCGGCATCGTGTGTTCGGGCACAGAGACGATGATGCAATTGGTGTCACCATCTTGAAACACCGACTTCGGTGGCTTGGACATGTTCTCCGAATGCCGTCCCAGAGAATTCCACGTCGTGCATTATTTGCCGACTCTGGGACTGGTTGGAAGAAGCGGAGAGGTGGTCAGTGCATGACATGGTGTCGTGGCATGAAAGAAAGCTGCAAAGGACTGGCTTGTGTTGGTCCTTCACGACTCCCTGGTTGGGGTCCGAGAGATGGTGCTACACAGTGGCTAGAGACGTTATCAGATATGGCTCAGAATAGAAGCCAGTGGCGATCCTGCTGTAACCTTCTTTTACTTTCTTCATAAAAAGTGGTTGTGTCTTCCCTAACTGAAAGATTTCTTCTGATTGTACCTCTTCGTCATTACTCTCTTTTTCTTTTGCGTTCCTTAGTTTTTTTTTTTCTTTCTACTTCTCTTCGAATTCCCATTGTTTTGTGTGGCGCATATATATTGGCGCTCTCTTGTACCAATATTTATGTGTTCAAATAAATAAATAAATAAATAAATAATTTGTCAGCGACTTCACCAAACAGAACTATATAATCTGCCTATTACAAATTAACAAGTGAATCTGCTGGTAGAAGATTAATTCCTGAAAAGCCAGACGACCAAAGTGTTATCTCTAAAAGCATGTCCATGACAAAGTTAAGTAAATGTGGGGAAAGCAGACAACCGTGACAAACTATACTTGAAGTAACTAATTCCGATGACAGTTCGCCATAAGGTCTGACTCCACTAGTAGTGTTCGATTAGAGGGCCTGTACAGGGTTAATGTACTTTTTTGATAAGTCTTTCAATGACAGATGTTGCTACTGAACCTCACGATCAACTCAGTCGAACCCCACCTTTAGGTGAAGAAATACAACGATATTTGGATGTCTATGTTCCAAAATTTGCCTAAGGGTGAATATTTGCTCTATTCATCGACATCCAGGTCTGAAATAATTCTGGTTTTCTTGGGTTTGCTCTTTTCAAGCTTTAGTCAGAAGTCGAAATATAATTTAGGTTAATATTTTAGACATTATATTAGTTAAATTGATTCCTCCGTGACTGTCACAGGATGATTTTCGTCTTTTCTTATGAAATGAGACGATCATTGATCGAGACCAGTCATATAGGATTACATCCAATTCCCAGATTTCAGGTAATCTGACTGCCAAAACTGAACCACCATCCTTGAAAATCTCGGGGGTTCGTCCATCAGGCCCTGCTACTCTCCCTCACTTGAGATTGTTTATAACCTTTTCAACCCCACTAATAGTTGAAGGACTTACATCAGTTTGCCATTCGGGTTGCTTGGAGATAGTGGGTAACTGAAGTGTTTTTGAGGACCAATTGAAGTGTTCCCTAATGTGTTCTGCCCTTCGGTTCAATCTACTGGACTGAGAGTGAATAATAGTCCCATCTTTTTCCGAGATACTTTCACTAACAGCCGCATTTTTAATACCCTTTGTGGATATCATCCCAAGCTACCTCGGGTTGGGTGTCATTTTCACGGTGGACTGGCTCCTTCTCTAGTTCCTGAAATATTTTCTTAACTTTTTTCATAATTACTTTGGGCTCTAAGGAGTGTTCTCACTGCGGCTTTTCTATGTCTAGTAAGTCGCAGACAAATACGTACTCGAACTAGTGTATGATCCGTGTGCAAACATGTGCTTTATGATGAGCGACAGTTTTCAATTGAGCTCCTCTAACGATTGCTAACGGCAGTGTGGTCTGTTTGAGTCGATTGTAGAGGTCGTCACGTCAGTTGATGTTTCTCCTTGTGTTTTCCAGAGGTAAATGGTTATCTAAAGGTATTTACAACAGACGGTCTCCATTATCTGTCCGCTGAGCCTTAACACCGTAATATGCGTCTAATTGTCTTTGGGTTTGATTTAGTTTACCTATTTTTGCATTAAAACCACCTGACACTACTAATAAATCAGAGCATTTAACCTTTTGAAGGAAGTGGGACAGTTTCCTATAAAATTCATTCTCAACTTCGTAAACAGATACGAAGAAAAGGCAGCGGCGTGTGTTCCTATCTTTTTGAGTCCTTACTGTCCCGTTTGGTCGGACAGTGCACAAGCGATTGTCTGTTGGAACCTGTTCAACTTCCAAATTCAATTCTGTACCCACACCATCGAGTCTACAGGAAGTACCAGTGGAGTCTCTAGATACTCAAAAGGTAAATTGTGCCCGTTCTCTATATTGACAAGATCAGGCCAAATGAATGACCGTAATTGAGTCCTGTACATGAGTCTCGTTGATACAGCATACATCGATGGCCCGAGATTCCAGAATTGTAGTCGAAGAAACCTGTTTTCCTACCGGACGCAAGGTCCGGACTCTAAAATCTCCAACATGTAGTTTAGAGCGTGGTTTCAGGAAACCAAGAGCAACATTTCTTGAGCTCAAACCACTAGAATTAGTGGCGCGTGGTTATAAAGATAAATGAGAAGAGTTAGTCTTGCGGATGGGAGAATTATTAAGGGGTGAGAGAGGGATTCAATCGCCAACAAGATGATCTCGGGTGCTGACAGGGGTATGAGAATGGTTTTCCTTTCCCGGTCGCCCACATCTTGGAAAGATATTTCTTCTTGAGGGACTTGAAAAAAAGCTGAACTCATCGTGGTCTCAGTGACTTGGGAGCGTGACCGCAGAACTCAAGGAACAACTGCTTGGAGCTGGTCGTGCATAGCCTTGTTATGGTAGGTTTTTGATGTATTAGCTCCACACTTTAAAAGGCCTTACCGTCGGAAGTGGAAATTCATGGAGTAAGGTGAGATGTGACATTTTCAGGGTCGACCTTTTCTAACCTCTTTCTTCCTCTATGGGAAGGCACCTTCGCTGGAGATGTTGATTGTCCGAGGGAATCACCTTACTGCCGTCACACTTCTCTATGGTTAGCAGTATGACTCCGCTCTCGGTCCGCAATTTTCTGCGTTTAGTCTTACGGTTCTTCAACCGACCTGTCTGATGTGGTAGAATTTAAAGGAACACTTATTCCAACTAATATTGCTCAGTTGAGTCATCTTGATAGGCAAGCTCAAGCACCACGTCAAGGTAGCAGCTACGGTCGGGAACACATATCTAGACTATGATCATGTTTCAGGGCGAGTAAGAGTTTGTTTATCTTACTAGACTGAGAAAGACCACTTAGAGCCCAACTGAACAAAGAATATGTGAAATATATATTTCAGGAAAATGTACAAAAATATTAATCGATTTTGAAAATGATGTTCAATCTGACTTTCATCTATTTCTTTGTTCAGTTTTTTTCTCTCTGTTTTCACTTCCTGCTGCCTTAAACAAACTGAACTTATTCATTTGTAGGTACGTATGCTCTTGTTATTATATGCATAGTTTATTTATTATTGTTCATATCAAATTTGATTTTAGTCCAAACATTGTCATCTTCAGTTGGTTCGCAAAAAATTTATTTGAAGCCTTTACCTAATGAAAATGATATGTTAAATTCTAGACTATTGAATGATGATAAGAAACGATTACCAAAAGTAGGTGATCTTTTTTTCATTCTTTACTGATTTGTTTGTTTGTTTTGTTTTCATTTTTATCTGTATAAGAAAACATGTCTTTATACATACTGAGAAATGATCAAGGATTAGTTGAATGTATTTGTTTATTAAGAATTCTTCCATATTAAATTTTCTTTGATATCACTAGTTCTAACGAAGTCCTGCATACTTTTTAGTTGTGGAAAGGTAATGTGACATTGTTGATATTGAAAGTGGGTCTTGAAAGTGTATAACCTGATTTTTAGTGTATATATAAGGTAATTGGTAAATGTAGTAGTATATTGTAGTACCATCTTTTATAAAAACAAGTTCTAATTACAGTATGGAGAACATAATAGATTGAACGTCTTACACAATCATTGTGAGTTTGATCTAATATTCAAAGCCTAAACAAGGTGACCAGTCAAGATGATTCAGTTTTTCACTAGTTCTATATAATTTGGGTTATATATTTTTATCATTTATGTCCTTTACTCCTGGTGGAGGAGCATAGACCACCCACTAGCATTCTCCATTAAACTCTGTCCTGAACAATTCTTTCCAGTCGCTATTCATCCTTTTCTTGTCTGCTCCCGATTCTCGACACAATGTGTTCCTTGGTCTACCTCTTTTCCTTTTCCCTTCAGGATTCCAAGTTAGCGGTTGCCTCATGATGCAGTTTGATGGTTTCCTCAATGTATTGTCCCATCCACCTCTAACGTCTTTTCCTAATTTGCTCTTCAGCTGGAAGCTGGTTTATTTTCGCTCATAATAGGCTGTTGCTGATGGTATCAGGTCAACGAATATTGACTATCTTGTGTAGACAATTGTTTATAAATGCTTGTACTATTTTGATGATGGTTGTAATAGTTCTCTAAGTTTCAACTCTGTACAATAGAACTGTGTTGACGTTCGTATTGAAGATTCTGACTTTGATGTTTGTTGACAGTTGTTTTGAGTTCCATATGTTCTTCAACTATAAGAATGCCTCCTTTGCTTTTATTTTTATCATAGTAAACGTTTAATCCATCAAATTGTATTTCTAACTTTAATAGTAAGTAATTTTTGATTGAACCCTCGTATATTCACTCATTTGTTAATGTTTTTACATGAATTATGTTTCAAGATAATCAGCAATTAACTCAATAGAATTAAGATCTTTAGTTGACACTTATTATAATGATAAATGATTGATATCTATTACTTGACCCTAGAAACTACACAATACAAGATTGAGCATAGAGACGATCAATAAGAATTTATTTGATACCAAGACTAAATCAAAAGGAAATCTGAGTATACTGATTAACAGTCAGATTTGTATGCATTAACTGAGTAGTGCTTGACATTAATTAATCAATCAATAATTTATTATATAATCACATATTTACATGATCATAAAACTAGATATCCCTTCTTAAAATGTGACCTACATGTTCAAGATGCTTGAAAAATAAACAAATCAATTTTGTATCTCATTTACACTGTAATTAATTAACCCCTTCCTCATTATATCAAATACAAAGATACTAAGTCACTAAAAAAAAGAAAACATTGTCATATTAAATATGATCCATTAGTTCAACACCAAAACATTATTACATAATATCACAATAAATGTAAAGGTTAGTGTTACTAGTCAATACTGTTATATGATAGGAGAAGAAATATACATCAACACTTGAAACCTATTTCATATACGTCAATTTAGGCAGTGTTGAGTAACAATGATGGATAGTGGCTAGCAGTGGAATCCAGGACGCGCGTTATGTCGTATTTTGGGACTCGTCAACTGGACGTACCTGCATCTCCGAGTTGATGTTCACTCTGAGACTCAAACCCAGTACCATTCGCTTCAAATGCCATCGCGTTATCCACTCAGCTACTGAGTCCTGATAGCCACTTGTTTGTGGAATGGAGTGAATTTAAATTCACTTGGTACTGTTTGGCTTGTATCATCCCATTGAGGTTTAAGACTGCAATTGATCAGTCTGAATAACTTCATTAGGTTTTACTCTTTTGAAATAGTTTAATTCACTAAGATTATGTCATAAATGAAATGAAATCAGATGTTTCATATTTTCTAGTAATTTAATCATCAAATATAAATGAAAAAAATATTGAGGCATTGTGAGCATTCATCTTGGACAACTACAGTGAAATTGAATATTTGAATCTTACTTTACCTAATTTACCACAAAGGCAACTCGAAAGAATCACATGTTTTCAAGTTAGAGATGTATAACTCAAGAGTGAATATATGAACATTGTATTCGGTTATCAGCACAAGGATTATGGTTCAAATTGCTGTGAATAATGAGTTGAAGTACATTAGTATTTAACCGGGTCGGTGGAAATGGAGAGTCCACCTAGGGGAGTTGGAATACCCTCATGCCAAACCAATGGTGCACATTGACTCCAGCATCCTGAAGGAACAAATGGCGTATAAACCAATCGTTGGTCACCGGCTACCATGGGATTGCATCTCCTTACGATGCTCCACTGCCTTGTGGATCAGACCTTTACTTCAAAGGCTCCGGGTGTGGTCCCCTGAGAAAACCACCTGGTTCGGTTTGGGCACCCAGGCAGTTTCACAGCCCTCACACACATCAGATGAGATTTGTGTGGCGCATATGTATTTGGTGCCTTCTTGTACCAATATCTATGTGTTGAAATAAATAAAATAATAAAGTATTTAAAAGCTGGTTATGATCGCGGGATTTCGAAATTATTTTGCATCTAATGAGTTAAAAGCCCTTATAAATTAAATATCATTTCGTAAAAGACTCAATCAAATCTCTTATAGTTTGGTCATTGTAAGAAGTTTATTGAGTTATCAGTTTTCCGATCCTAGTATCTTAGGAATATCACTGCATAGTTAGCTGCATTATTCTACGTGTGAATTTATTCATACTAAAGATCTCTCTCTTTGAGTCTTTTTCACAACCATGAATACTTTATCACGAAATTTTTAGTATTAAATTCTCTGAAAAGTTACGGAGGTTAACTTACTAGGGAACTACCGTTGTCACTATATTGATACTACGATGTAATGCGTAAAAGTTGTTACTCATTTCAGCATTCTTAATTCATCAGGTCGGTTATTATTATTATTATTTACTAAACCACTAATTAAATGAATTGTGTTTGAGCCTACCATAAACAAAGTTAGTTGAAAGAAGAAATGGTTAATTTACACTTTCAGCAAAAACTTTATTAAAAGGAAATTGTTTTTACCAGTATGGGGTTGTGGAGATTGTTAAGTTTTTGATTGAGATCATGAACTGATTGATGTGAGGTCATCATTGAAAACCTGGAAGCACTGGACAGCCGTTTCACCCTATTGTGGAACTCCTAAGCAGTGGGCATCCATGTACGGGATCGTGTTATTCTTTAAGACCGTAAAACTGCTTGAATTATCGATTATTTAAATTAGAAATTCGCACACTTTATGATTCATTTCAACTTTGTGAAATACTGATCAATATACATGATAGTTAGTGACTAGCTAATTATGTAATCCAAACCGCACGTTACACTTTATTTGATAGCATCAAAATAAAATTAAAAGCTTATTTCTATTCACATTTCATTTTTACACTGATTATTACAAATACCGTAACGTTATCCGTCGAACTATCAAGTTACAATAAATAAACAGTTTTGGTTGTGGATTGTTGTTGGTCTTAACCGTATGATACATTGAGTAGCTGTTACTTTGACACGGTAGTCGGGTTGTTATGGTGACCTAGTCAAGCTATGTTGGCTGGAACAATCGTTCTTGTAGGTGCTACTGTAACAGTTAGATCAGTTGGAAAATGTTAATACCAAAAGCAACGAACGGATGGTTAGGGAAAGAAGTCGTACTGTTGACTGCTCGGGAGTATGATGATGATGAGGTGTTCCCCTCAGGAAACTAACATCTACACTTAGGCTGCATTCTCACAGAGGAAGTGGAACTATTGTAAAGGTCAGCCCTAAAAATAGTATGCCATCATACCGCACCATTTTTCGTCACCGGATACGAGGCCTATAAAGTATGGGCTTACCATATCAAAAACTACTTTCGAAAAGGCCATGTGTGACCGGCCTCAGGCAGTTGCCCCTTGGATACTGCGGTTACAGTCACAGGTCATCATGACCACTCCTAACCCAATTTTGTCTCTAGATACTTCCGTGATGTAAGCGATCGAAGGAGTGACAACAACTCTAATACCTCAAACATCACTAAAGATAGTTCACACTAATACATTCTAGTTCTTGTAAGTGTAATTATTCCTTCTGTTTGAATTTTATTCGATTAATAGTGTCACGAATTGTTATTTTCTATCTTAAACACTACCTATCATCTATATGATTGATAAGATTTAAGTATTTCTCCACAAGGTTGTTTGCGTTCTGCACCAAATAAAGTAAGTTAAAAAAACAACTAAGGTTTGTCTTGTATGCATCGATTTTTCACAATGTTTCTAATCAATTGAATTGTAATGCATGTATTTCGCTTACACTGTTAATGTGTTACTCAGGTAATAAACATTTTAAAAAAAGAGACTATTTTAAACAATCGTATTCTTGGTTTTAATATAATTTCAATCTAACTGTTAGTGTAGCGAACAACCACAAGTACAATTTTCCAGTAAATTCTATGTCAATCGTTCCTTTAATCTTAATGATATGGTCCAGTGATCGACTATGTTAATATATGGGATTCTTTTCAAACACACAAACAACCCGTTATATAAAGGAAATGCAGAGTAAGAAATATTGAAGCAAAACACAGGATTTGTGGTATGAAGTGCGAATTGATTGGTGGTGATGTCGAACATGGATTTTTGTCAACTGAAATGAATAAAACATATGCCTGAACATCGACTAACACAACGCGCAATGCTAGCTAGTATTGGACAGACGGTTGGAAGAAAGTTAGGGGCGGTCAAACCAAAACGTGGCTTCAGTTCTTGAAGTCACTAACTTGTGGTCTGAGCCATGTTGGTAGATGCAGACTAGTTGATTGGGATCCGTGCGACTATCGTAATCAATAGTTGTAGACTGTGTGACATGGCTCAGAATCGACCACAATGTCGTAGGTGTATACACTCGTTGTCTTCCCTTAATCGTGAGATTAAAATTACTTTGTGCCTTTCTTTCTACGAACTAATTCTTTCTCCCTGTATCATATGCTTATGTGGAATCTTTATTTTTATATATTACTACGACTGAAGTAACTACTTCTATGAATTTAATGTTCATTTTGTTGTACTAATGCGGTGTTGTAACTTTGACTGATGGACATATTTGCCTGGTCCTACGTTATAGCTGACTGACTGTTACATGCATCCATCCGACACCTGCAGTGATGCACAACCCTGAATGACATAGGAATAGATTAGAAAATGCTAAAATTAGGTCATATTATTCAGTAGAATATTCTTGATCGTGACTCATACAATACTTGTAAACAATGATTAGATACATTCGGTTGCATGATCCCCACAATCAGTCACAGCAGCTCAATTGTATTTATTCTCCATCTTTCGTTAAATTACATTTCAATTTAGTTTTTCTTCTTTCGTTCCCATTTTTTGTTCTTTGCATTTTCTTCTCTTGGTGTACTAATGTGAACTGTATGTATATTTCAATCTCGAGTAATACTTCAATCCACTTTATATTTTGTTTTTCTTATTTCTTTATAAAATATGCATGGTGTAGATTATAGGTGTTTGCTTAAATTTTTAAGTATCATAGAAAATTTTATTATCAATTAACTGTGTTTATATTTTTAGAATTCAGTTGTGCATACTTTATATTGATACTTGTTTATGTTGTATATAAGTAATTAAGTACTAAAATTAGTAGTGATAATTTCGTTCTAAATCATAATCAACTTAAGTGACATAAGGATGTGTTACGTATATAGTTATAGTTAATTTTGGCTTACTTCAAGGTATGCTCACCTAAATAACGTGGTAGTAAATTGGGATATTGCTTAAGAGCTGCTAATCGAATATAGATATTTTATTTGTAAACTGTGTCACTTCAAACGAAGTTGACCGGGGTCGACCAGTTAATCGCTGTATACGTTTTGTGTGATAACATGCTGGAATGTATCTATTGTTTACTCGTATAATCCCTTATATCATGATGTGTTCCATTAACGAAGAATTATCCGTATCCAACTTATAATTTAATAGAAAATGACAGTTTATAACATAATTTTCAGAGTTAACGTTCAAATTATTACTTAAATCCTACACTATCCACTTTAAACAGTAAAACATTTTACAAGCCAATCTATTGACATATGGGTTGATTAATAAACAGATGTTTTAGCGTTGACCGTATTTAGAAGTTAGCTTTAATTTGTATAATAATCGCTAATTAATACTGAATATTATAACAGTTGAATAGATGGGTAGCGGATGAAAGTATGACGTTTCAAATAAATGCATTGAATCCAAGTATGAGTGTTTCAGATGAGATAGAAAGCGTATACTGAATTCTCTGACTAAGAAATGCGTTCTCAATATAATCACCTTGTGATAATGACACATCTGTTTGCCAGTATCAAAGATTCTTTGTGAATATAATGAACAGAGGAACATAAATTCTTAAAATGAGTAAATGAAGAAGGCATCGTGTTTTTTCGTTCCTTTTTTTTAAGCAAAATAAGCTCCTGTTTTTTCTTGGTCCCTACAAATTGTATGTTCTGTTAAATTAATTCAACTGTTAATCGAAGTATGAATACAATTTTCAGTAAATATCGTCATGATCAGTGTACGACACGGTGTCGGGGTATGAAAGAAAGCTGCAAAGAGCTGGCTTTTGTTGGTCCTTCACGACTCCCTGGTTGGGATCCAAGAGATGGTTCAACACAGTGGCTAGAGACGTTATCAGACATGGCTCAGAATAGAAGCCAGTGTCGATCCTACTGTAACCTTTTACTTTCTTCATAAAAAGTAGTTGTATCTTCCTTAATTGAAAGAATTCTTCTAGTTGTACTTTTCCGTCTCCCCCATTATTATTATTATTTACACTACCTCACAATAATCTGGTCGTTATTGTTCTTCTTTTTTTTCTTTTACGCTCCTTATCTTCTTTTTTTCTCTTTCCATTCTTATTGTTTTGTATGGCGCATATATATTTGGTGCCCCCTTGTACCAATATTTATGTGTTCAAATAAAAATTAATTAATTCAACTTGTAATATCTGTTGAAACTTCTACAATTTTATTTCTGGTCTACAAATGCTCTGATATGGTCGAGGGTGGGGAGAGTCAGCTCTCCCTCTCAAAATGCTCTCACATGGCCACGAGTATACAGCCACTGATAGGGAAGTTCTACTCACTTCCATTTCGTCGCAGGGGTGTCGTTTACCAAATTGAGAGGACGAAAAACGAATGTCCAGCGCTTTATCCGGGTTGCTGGGATCAGCGGATCCACTTAGGGGAGTTGGGAAACCCTGATTTCAAATTAATGGTGCACATAGGCTCCAGTATCCTGAAGAGCAAATAGAGTATGAACCTAATGTTGGTCACTGGCTACCATGGGACTATATCTCCTTACGTCGCTCCACTGCCCTGTGGATTAGACCTCTAGGTCAAAGGCTGGGGCACCCGGACAGTATTCCAGCCCTTACATAAACCAGTGATAACTACTACTGGCTTCATTGTTATTGTGTGGCACATATGTATTTGTTGCTCCCTTGTACAATAATCATATCATGTTGAAGAGTGGATTCGCTAGAAGACTGAGCCGATTCTGTGAGGACGACCCACGAGTGAACTCGAGGAACCTCTGAACGAGCCGAAGATATTCCATCTAATTATCTTTTGGAAGGACATTCCAGAATCTCTACATGTAGCTTCCCTATTGGACAATTGCTAAAACCGCATGTATGCGGATTGGATGACAATAATGATGATTTCGTTCTTACTATAAAAAAAACTATAAATACCTGATAGTTCTGTACCATATTTGACACTGTTTGGAATAGCATTCTTTTCACTTGTCTTCTGTCTTCTTATTTGTGACTTGGAGGGTTCTAGTGTTCAAGTGCTCAAGTTATACGCGGTATATTAAGAATCTATGCTGTAGATATAACAGATTCCATTTGTGTTAAGGAGTTTTGTAATAGGAGCTGAAAGAAGTGATTTTTCAGTTCAACAATCGCGTTACATTTTCTCAGGATTTTATATTATTCAAACATAAATAAATAGACTCACTGTTTCAAGTGTAACTGACTTGTAAATAATAAATTGCATGCGTATCTATAAAACTATATGTTCAGTTTTTGACGCCTTGGAATAATGCATGGTTTTTGTTTTTAAAACTACCATTGATTCTTATTCATCATTTACTGGATAGAATTATCAATGAATTATAGACTTTCCAGTGTCTTTTAAGAATCATTTTACATATCAAATCATAACTTACCAGATACATATTTGTGTACTTAGCTTTGAAGTGCACTCAGTTTGTTACATAATGGATGGTATAAAATACTTTTCTCTTTCTTCCTCAAATATACTACGCTAATACGATTAAGAGACTAGTCACGTTGTACCAGGTCCAGGATTTACGATCCAGAATAGAGAACCAGATTAATATTAAATGATACTTTATTCAATACAATTACAAGCAGTCACACTCAGTGAGTCTGGAGTAGAAATCAATGAGAGAAAAGGAAATCACATATTTAACAGTTAGTAGGCTGAGAGTCTGTTTCGTCACACTCAGTGATTAATCATATTTTACTTTCACTACCATATATTATCTTGATAGTCAGTGGGGTTAATTGTAAATAGGAGGAGTGGGGTTCGAACCTGGAACCGAATGGTTGAAAGTCGAACATATCCGATAACCTTTTTGCCAATAACCTAAGTTTAAAGCACCAAGTCTGAATGGTTATTATTCATCTTAATCATTATACATAAGTACTCTTTCCAAAATACTTTCTACATACATTACTGTTATATGATATGATGTTACCATGGAAATCTTGTTTAATCCACTCTTGTATATCACGAATCATGATGTAATAAATACATACACTTGTCATTTATTAATTTCGCTAGGAGATCAGCTAATATTACTTAACTTCTCAGTTTTATTTATCATATTCCAATGTTTTTAGGTGTAAATCCTAAGAAATTTGTGTTTGGATTATTGCCTTATAAAAATGGTATTAAGTAGTATATCATTCACTTGTGAAGTGGTAACTTATTGGTTCAATCATTCATTTTCCAATCAATGCATTAAATGTTGAAACATCACATTCCACCGATTTCGGTTTAAGCAACTAAATATAACGTTCACACAAGCAATTTATGAACCCCGAAACTTCGCAAAGGAACTTGTACTAAGTAAATCATTCACAGTATAAGTATTATAAGTGTTCAATTATATGGTGACAAACCAATATTTATTTTCAACCTTCAGATATATGTTTTTTCTTTAATTTTCATACCACTTGATCGTTAAAAGTATATACGTATATATCATGTTTTATCAAAAGAGATGTCATAATTTATAAAGGGATTACAATAGAATGAAATATTAATCGATCAAGAAGAAGAATTAGAAGATCATCTCATTATTCAATACTTATTAATCAGTCAATGAAAACCTCTCAGTTCTGCAGTAGTAGGTACCCTCTCACTACGAAGCTGCTTAATGAGCGTTTGAATTCCACACAGAGTATTAATTTCATCAAGATTACATGTACCATTTACTGTTGAATGAGTGCCATCTAACATGAAACTTGAGTTAAACTACCTAACTTTAAAATTATTGTTTGTTGAGTGGTTTTTAATGTTCTGTTTTTCTTTGATTTTATGTTTTAAACCAGCAAGTTTGATAATTCTCAATAGGTTTCAAGTAGTATTGTTTTCATGATTAAAATAATATTGTGTTATGGAAACTCTTTATTCGAAAGACATTATTTCTAAAACAATTGACTTATTTACTGTGATGTTCCTATTCTTTAGGCTGAACGTTCTGCTCTGCTACCATTCTCAAGTGATGTTGACTGTTCAACACCTTCACCTCCATTATCTACCAGATCTACACACAATAATGACAATTATTTAGAGTTGTTCGCATCTCAACCAACTAATACTGCTGCTACTCTACAACGAAACTCTTCCTATTCACCAAGTGACAGCAAAAATTACACTATCAAATATACTGGTAATTCTACTCAATCAACAATTACTCCAATTAATGAACAAGAAAACGATCGACAGTCATCACAACATCGAAAACCACATCGTCAACGTCGACAACACCATCATGAGAATCATAGTTCATTCCATCGGCATAGTGTATTACGTCAATCACTCGGTGGTATTAATGCATTAACTCACCATACAAATGCATTACATCAAGATTCATCTGAACCAGACAATGAAATATCGCCTAAAAGTTATGACAGTAATGTTGAGGATATCAGAAAATGTACACCTAAACGAGTCGATGATAAATTCATTGATTATTTATCATCATCAGGATCATCGATTCATACTAATAGCAGTAGTAAGTCTTTGAAGAATTCTAATCACTGTCATCATCGTCATAATGATGATGTTGATGACTATCAGCGAAAAACATTCCGTTTATCAAACTTACCATCTTGGGATCATTTAAATTATGCATTAAAACCTTTTACATCGAATCATCATGGTAGCGAAACAAAGTAAGCATTGTTCTATTTTTCTGTTGGAGACCCAGGTTATTCAATTATATGTTAGTGAAAATTAATTGTGTTAATTTTGATAAAAAGTTGTGATGTTTGTCAGATTTGTAGGTTTACACCACAAATTGACCTTAGTTTTAAAACAATTGAAAACCATGAGGCACTTGATAGTTGTTACGTCCTTTTATGTACCTTATTAACATTACCACGGCTCGAACCCAGGACATTCAGTTATCACGGGGAACATTTAACCTTCAAATCGCGGAGTTGTTGTCCGAGGGTTTACATTTCTGGTTTCAGTTAATTCTCCGTATTACATGACTAACATCCATTGCCATTCATAATGTAAAACTATGTATTAATTATTGACTATGTAGTAGAAACATCGGATTTTTCAATTAGTTATGGTTTCAAATGGTATACCCACACAATTCAGTCTGCATAGATGAGTGGATTTCTTTAACATGCATATATATGGATCGAAGTCTAGTTCGTATACCTATGCTCTATGAATGAGTTATATTAACATTTGCTTTTAATACTAATGAATTGAGACGAAATATTTACCAAGTCTACCACCTACCTTAATGTATGAGGGTGGCCAATTCAAGCGTTGATTCTAAAAAACACTAGGGATCGTCAGACGAAGAAGTGTTATCAGTCTATTACATCATTATTGGTTCGACCAGTGTTGTTAGATGCAAACTCTTTAATTAAATCCCTTAAAATCATCTTGCAAATATTTGGTGTTGAGTGACATGGTTGAGAATCAATCATCCACCCACTTTTTTCTCCCTAGTCTCAAGCTTCAATTTTGTTTCATAATTTTTATTTCTCAAATGGATACCTTCTTTCGGAGTCGTATTCTTCAATGTTTAGTTTTTCTCAATATTATTGATATTTCTATTCTTCTACTATTCATTTTTATTGATTTCATAATAACAAATCGGGCTAATACAAACTTTCTCCAGGCTCTGTGTTGACTATATTGAATGAGTTTCATTTGTATTATAAAACTTCAATAGCTTACAATCCATACTATCTGAAAGAATGAATGGACTCATATTTATTTTTGATTTTGTGATTACATTGCCTTCATTTTTTCCTGTTCATTGATGTGATATATGAAGGATCGATTTTGTTAGCTTTCCATTGAAGTTTATATTAGTTCGTCTGGTTTCCCGTCTATCTTTTTAAATTTTTTGTCGTTATGATTTCTGCCAATATAGAGCGAACCACATACTTCGATTTAGGCAGCAGAGAAGAGTATTGTTAAATACTACACACAACCAAAATACATCTTGAAACCGAGTACACAAACATGTTTTTAATAAATAAGTGACATTAATTTTTTCGCTATTACTACCATTAATTGAAATTGTGTAGATCAGTGTGTATGCCATCTAATTATTATGTAAGAGTTTTCTACAATACTAATAGTGGCAAAGACCAGAGAGCTAGAAAGAGGTGATTACACAACGACTAAATACTAATAGTAAATAAGAATAAAATGAATTAAGCCAAGTTAGTTGAAATAAAATAATTATCCTAGAAAGCGTAGTGATGTAATCAATGTACAGAAAGAGTTAGATATAATTTTATGAAGTGTTTTTGTTATCAAGGCAGAGAAAGATTTACAACTGTCTCGTTTCGAACACACAAATCAGGTTTCTGACGCTTGATAGCGATGATTTCAACGAACTTCAGAAGATTGGAGCTCAGCCTCCTATTCATCAAATTGAAAAGTTCCATGATATCGAGCTGATGTCCCGTATCCGAAAAATGTCTAGAAATCGGGTTATTTAAGTATTTCTCTCGTTTAATCGGACGCTGCTTTGATATGCACATGTAAATTTATAGATACAGTTGATGGTCATTTAAAAAAGATACTCGTCAACATGTCAGTTGTTGAACATGTTGTTTTATACAGGATTAATAGTTTGGCTTCACGGCAGGCTCTGATTGTCCTTACAACATTATTACCTTTAAAGTAGGAGACGTCTTCGTGTGATCGCTTAGAAAATCATCGAGCGAACAATGTCTGAGGTTAACTATAGAATGCTATCTAAAGTGTGTAAATCGATCGATGAAATGGTGATTCTTCATCAACTGAGTTGATTTGGATATTTTATCAGAATCTACCCAATTAATTCGTAAATATTATTATCTGACACATGATTGGTCATTTAATAAGCCAATCAGAACTCAAAACACTGTAAATAAATATTTACAATTCCTATACATTAAATAGAATATTTCAACAGTATTGTTTGTTGTCCATTCACGTGAAACATGTCAAGTACTTTTTTTTCTTTCTTTCATTTCATTGAAATAATTCTATCTCTAACATCATTTATCTTGAAATCACAAAAGAAACAAACAAACAAATAGACAACTATTTTATTTTTTTTTATTTATATGTTAGATTTAAAGGATTTCGTTTAGTTCACAAAGCTATACAATCGGAATATTGTCTACCTCGTGTACATATTAGTAGTTATAATAATAACAATAGTATTCCATTTCAATTGAATGATATTATTGTCAGTGTGAATAATCATAAATTATCGACAATGTCCGAAGCAGAGTAAGTTAATATGTGTTTTTTTTGTTTATGTCTTGGAATAGATATTCATTTATCATGCTAAACATTTTGTGTATATTAATTATTATGTGAGACTATAATTTATGAACGAACTAATCAGATTTAGGATAACAGGTCTTGGATTTCGGTATGAGATTCATTCATCTATTTGGCTAAATAGTGTTTTGGTATTTTTAGCTGATATCAGTTCGTGATGAAAACACTAAATGTAATTCCTTATCCTAACGGTCAACTGTAAATCACAATTCTAATTACTCACACTGGTTTGTAACCCTCATGTAGCCCTGGTAAGTAGGTGGACATTCTCAAGTTCTATTTGACACTCGTCAGTTGCATAAAGAGATGGCGTTTGTAGCGAACGCTACTGGGTTCGTGTCCTGGGGTGAACATAAACTCTGGGATGCAGGTACATCCAACCAACGAGGTCAAAATAGGATGGAACACGCGTCCTGGATTCCACTGGTAGCTGCCATCTATCTTTGCTTATCATGCTTGTTATTTAAGGCAATCCCTACAGGATACACATATGCCAATAAGAGACAGATCAATTGCAATCCTAAACATGAGTGTGAAAATTGACACAACCAATACAAATTGAATTATATTAATAGGTTATAAACTTTGTTTCTTTTCTTCGATCCGATTACATAACTTGCACTTCATGTACAAAATTTTACAAGTTTATGAAAACAGTCAGCACATGAGATTCAGCTTAGAAAATTGTAATTAACGGATTAATAGTCGTGTATAGTCAACTTAATGTCACCAGTAAAGTGTTTTGGTCAGGAGTATTCAAGTTTTAATCCAAGTAGTATGAAAATATACACATATACACATTGATCTTAATCTTGGATTAGTGTGAAAAGTACTAAGAGCTATGTTAAACAAACTGAAGCAAAATTATTATTATTATTATTATGACTAATATTATTCTATCATCTATTTACTTACGATTAAAATTGCTAACTTCGGACTAAGTTACTAACAGTAATTTAAAAGTTCATGTATTTGACCTTAATTTATACACTTTCTGTCTGATATTGCTAACCGCCTTATTTAAACCGAAACAGTTTAATCATTGAGTTGTAACCAATGTTTTATTTGACTGTAATGAAATTTCTTATATATAGTCACTAGTCTTCAGTCTTCAGTAATAAGGATAGGAGGTCTGTCGACCTATATTAATCCTTGCAGTTTGTAATACTGTGGAGGTCCAATCTCATTTTGAATATATTAACAGACGGTGCTGATATTACGTGTTCCGGTAGAGAATTCCAGTAATTCACTACTCGATGCGAGAAACGGAACTCCAAACGTAAACGGTTTGATCTCGGTTTTTGAACTTTCTTCGAATGTCCTCTCAAATGATCGGTTCTAGACGGAAGCAAAAGATAAGACATGTTAATACCAAGGTCATCGTTCAGTATACGATAAGCCAATATTAGATCACCCCGTACTCTACGGTAAGATAACGGAAATAAGTTAAGGTGTCTCAGTCTGTCTTCATAAGATAGGCCAGCTAGACCTTGTACCATCTTAGTAGCTCGTCGTTGGACTCTTTCTAGCATATCTGCTTCATATTTGATTGATTAAATTGCATGATGTTTTACAGTATGTTTGATTTCCAATAATTGACATTCCTCTGAAATCTTAGACGAACACTTATTATACTATTGAAACTTTACATAACTGAATGTTACAATTACCAATAGGACTATTCCTTGACATAGATAAATTGAAGAATAGTATTCTACATATGTATATATTTTACGAATAATATTCAGTTTAGCATTGTAATTTAATTTATCCATATGAATCAATTCCAACAGCTGATGTAAATCTTGTAATTAGTTCCTATTTAACTAACTAGTCATTAATTATTTCTTCATTTTATTATTTTCTAGAGCATTACAATATGTATATAATGCATTTAAAGATGCACAACATTATACTATTGATGTAGACATTCTAAGATCATCAAGAAAATCTTTTAATAATGAATCATCTTCTACATTACTCAAACAATCATTGATAACTCGTCAAAAATCCGACTCTGGTTATTCAAATTCTATCGAAGTAAATATTCCCAAGAATCCACATCGACCAAGAAGACGACGAGAAGGTGAATGTAAAAATTATTCATCTTGTGAAATCACTCCAGAACGTTCATCTTACAAAAACGACAAAAAAGGTATTTCACTGTTGTTGTTTTTTTTCAAGAAAGGAGGTAGTATTTACTGTCTTATTTTCCTGAAGTTAAGTGCGCTGTCCAAAATGAAAACAGTTTACTGTAAAATGAATTATTACTATGAACTCGAACATTTACGTTGCATACTACATATGCTTTTTAATAGTGAATTATTCTCAAAGAACCAGTGTTGATCAAACAGACGAACTGAGCACAGAATAATCGATTTTCACTGTCTTTGATATGCTTGAAAATAAGGTTTTATCCAATTAATAATTTGAGTCATTTATTGAGCCCAAACTTATGTACACCCAGCTTTCATTCACGCTTTAGATGTATGTGTATTAGAGCTAGCGATATTGTCCCGGGAGGATAAACTGAAGCTGGTAAGGTGATATTCGAGATTAAAATTTGTTGGTTTAATTTCAAGTGATCTGATCATTGGGCATCACTTCAAGATTTCATATAATAAAGATAATTGCATTTATTTCCACTTTCTCTAATTCGCAAAAGGTTGAATTTTTACATTTGACAACTCCCTGATCATTTTTTATTGTTCTATAATCAAGATTGACCATATTGTTTGTACTCTACTATGCGGTAATACTTGTATTAAAAACAAATGAAAAATATTAAACTAATATCAGGACAACATAAGATTACGCAACTAAATATGGCAAGTTAGTAGTGAGATGACAAACGTGCTGGTTGTAATGAGAATAATAATAACCTCGATAAATTATGTTTAAACTTGAGTTGTAGGTCAAAACTTAGGAAAATGAACAGTGGTGGCCTAGCATAGATCAACCTATGAATTCAACTGTGAAAATACTACAATCTATACAATTTCCAATACTGATAATGAAAATAAAATGCTAGTCAGATTGCGTAACATCTGTCTGTACTGATCATTTTCACATTCTTTATTCCGTAATTACAGTAATTTTTAATGATTTTAATATGTGTTTCCCAAGGTTTTGACTTATTTCTTATGTTGTTAAAACACTTATCGAGGTTGTTACTATTTCTATCATAACTAAATACACTTGTCATCATGGTTTACCGTTTCCACTAGCTGCATAATCCTCCTACATGCATGTTTGCACATAAATATTACTGCATATTAGAGTATAAAGCCTGATGAATATCTGTTTGAGAACAATATTTGTCCAGTGCTTTTATGTTTTCAACGGTTGACTCACTTAGATGATTTCATGATTTCCATGAAATAAAAACATTTATATTTACATTCGATTTCAATTCTAAATTCTATGTAATGTAACTGCCTGTGTTAGTTAACTGACTGTGGAATAAAATTAACAAGGTCAATATCAGAATAGTGATAGTGAAAAGAATGGGTGTAGGAAATATGATTTGAGATAGAAATTTGCTTTCGTGCAATAAAAGATGTAAAAAAAGAGTGAATACACTTGCACTACGGTGACTGATTTTGAGTCATTTCACTTGGGGTCACTAGTCATGATGACCGCCTAACCTAAATAATGTTCATCTATCAAAATGGCCCATTAACTTTTAGGATTGATACTACATCTTGGTTTGGAGGCTCCTAGTTTTTTTTTCAGACCTACTCTTACACCAGTCGACATCCCCCACCCATCAAGCTGGGTACACACAATATATGTTCGATAAAATTGTATTAAATTCCAATAATACATTTACTACACTGCATCTAATTAGAAACTACGTTAAGTACAATCTTCAATCATGATCACCTCGAAAACCCTAACCAAATAGTTTACATCTTCCTAGACAAATCAGGTTAGTTATTAATGGTTCTATTCCTAATAGTAACCTTTTTCCAATATATTTTAATCGCTACAAAATATTTGGTATAGGCGATGGTTGTCCTTATGTAACTCATATTCCAACCATTTTTTATTAATAAGAATTTGTAGTCTAATCAATGGATTTACAAATTTTATAGGCGATTAGTTTCTTCAATTATTTTAATTTTCTTACGATTCATGGCTTTATATGTCAAATTGAAAGCATAGTTATATTTTTGTAAGCAATGATGGATAGTGGCTAGCAGTGGAATCCAGGATGCGCGTTTCGTCCTGGATTCCACTGCTAGCCACTATCCATCATTGCTTACAAAAAGCTTATGAATTAAGGTAATATCGAGGCATACATATGCCAATAACAGACTGATCAATTGCAGGCTTAAGCTACAATGGGAAGATACAAGCCAAACAATACCAAGTGAATAGTTAGATAGACTTTATTAATTGTTTAACTAAGTGTTCATGAATTTCTTTGTTAAATCTAAACTCGTTCCCTTAGGTTTCTTTCCCCCACCCACCTCTCTGTCTCCCTCTCTCTCCGTGTATGTGTATGTGTCAGTATTTGCGTGCATTTCTTAAATCTATAAATGCAAAACTTCAATACTAACTAATCTTCATTACTAATGTTCTCTTAAGAAAACTATTATTATGTCTCCTTTATGTAATTTGATGCAAATTTGAATTAAATTCATACATTACTGAAGTATCTCCCTCTTTCCCCCCTCTCTCTCTTTCTCTCTTGACTGACAGCTACAATTGTATTACATTTCTATTTGTCTCTTTACGAAGCATGAAACTCTATTCATCAAAAAATAATTAAAAAACAAACAAATTAATTCATTTCAATCGACAGAATATTGTTGTTAGATATGTCACTATGTTAGTTAGTTGGTTGGTTGGTCGGTTGGTTGGTTGAATGGTACGTTCATGTGTGAATGTGTGTGTGTGTTTGTATCCCTATCTGATCCCTCATTTATGTGATACATGGATCATCATCAACACAGCTGTTTGATTGGGTTTTTTGATTTTGAAGACAAAAAATATATCAATCATCATTGATATTCCTGATTTATTAAAACAAGTCATTTCACTGTATGATTGATGATTTACACTTAGTTGAATATGTTGTCTATGTTGTATGTTTGTGTTGTTTCACACAGATGAGACACAGTGTTCATCTAGCAATGGTTAAAGACATTTTGTCCCCTTTAAAAAAAAGACATTTTAAACTTGCTCCTTTAATGTTTAGTTTAGGTTAGTTATGTTTAAAATGTTCATTTCGGGGTTCAAGCTTAGAAGTAATTAAAAAAAGGTTTTAGTCTATTCATGATTCATGTAAGTTTTCCTGTTTGTTTTTTAAAAATATTCTACGTCTAACCATCATCATGGAGTTTTAATGAGATGACAAATATCATAAATTTATTTTAACACACATATTAGTACAAGGAGACACCACACAAATCATTCGAATACTGCCCGGACACCCAAACCGAAACAGGTGGTTTACTTAGAGGATCACACCCCGAACCATTGACCTATAGGTCTAATTCACAAGGCAGTGGAACAACGTTAGAGAATTCAGTTCCATGGTAGCCAGTGACCAACAGTAGGTTGGTACGTCTTTTGTTCCTTTAGGATCCTTCAGCTCATGTGCTGTACTGGCTTGGAGTTTTCCAACTACTCTAGGTGGATGCTCCATACCTATCTACCCGATTTAAACACCGAACATTCGTTTTTCGTCCTTTCAATGTGGTAAACAACACCTTCGTGATGAGAAAGGCAGTGAGTAGGACTTCCCTGACTCTAGCTGTATACGCGTAGCCATGTGAGAGTATTTCGAGAGGGTGACCAGATTTTCTCCACTCTAAACCGTACCAGGGAATTTGTTTAATTTATAGAACCGTCGCAATGACATTCATTTAAAAATTTTAATTTGTGAGCATATATCATGAACTTACATTAGTTCATAGACCAATAAAAACCAATAACCACTGGGCAGATGTTCTATCGTTGTATTGGACTCCTCGGCATTCACTGTGTAGCCGCAACCTAGTTAGAGATCGGAACAGGGACATTAAGGTCTCATGGCGGACGCTTTACTTTTGAACTGACGAGTTATGACCTAATAGCGTGTATTACTCTTACTTCAGACAAATCACGATGCCAAGTATCGTTTTATTTGGGCACTCCCATACCACGAAAAAACAAATGTCTTATATTCTTAGTCTTTAATGGTTATCTAACTGGGGTTATCTCGTGATGTGAGCCCTAAAATTCAACTATCTCCACTGACCTCTGCACCATTGATTTAACTTAGTTCTATAGATTTCGAACTGTATAATATTGCTTTCATTTACAAGTATACACTTACTTTCATGTTGATTCGTTACTTATTTTTTCTCCTTTCTGTCTTATAAATGTAGAACAAAAAGATCGTACTCTATTGATCCGTAATACCAATAGAACCAATTTAAGTCGTTTAAGCCTTATGGATTATCCGGATTCGCCTAATGTATGCCTTAAATCACGTCAAATGTCGGTTGTTGACAGTGTGTCCCGTAATTCCAGTGACAACAATCATGGTGTCGTTGACTATGATGATAGAATTAATACAGCAACATTTGCCTCATCATTGTGCAGTAGTAATCTAGCAGACAGTGGATTTGTGACAATACGTCGACCAAAACAACCTTCACGTTTAACGATAATCAATAGTGATAGTGGTGATGTTGCAAACAATCGATTTTCTTTAACTAGTGCTGGGCTTCTCTCTTCTCTTGATAACAGTAATAATAAAGCAAAAAATTCACCGAAACAAGTATCACCGAAAGTCGACACCATTGATAATCGACATCTTGATAATGATCGTTCAAATTCTCGCACACTTACACCTCACACCACAGAAGTTACATCACCTTGTATTCCAAGGAGATCGTTAAATATGGTAGGTTGCTTTTTATTGATATCATTTCTTTTTATGTTATTGGTTATGTATCAATTTATTAAAATTCCTGTGTTTGTGTAAAGTACTTGGAGTTTTAATAATAACTCATTTATGTAGTATATATTCGTTTATCCAACCTGGAACCACAAAACATAGTGACTATTAGTAGTAGTATGATGTATGCTACCTATGGTTTCAGATATAAGTAGTAACATCAGTCGGAGGTGAAATGTCTGCAAGCAGAAGGTTGGTAAGATTGAAATGAAGAGAAGAGAGAAGGGAAATGAAAACAATCGAGGTAACAACAGGAATAAAGAAACAATAAAGCTTGTAAGGGATAATTCAAAAATGTACGAATGATGAGTTTGATGTGTGATTTTCACATTTTACTAAACTACTACGTGATTGTACACCAAATAATAAATTAGTCTTCCCCAGCTAACTGCTCGTTCGCTACAGTGGTAGCACTACTAACCGTTTTCTCAAACCTATGTCAGTAGAGTAGATTTATAGCCTGAAACTTATTGGTTGATAGTCGAATGCATTAACCATACGTTTACATTATATGCGTACATATAAACTGCTGATAAACGAACCGAAAGTTTTCGACAACATACATGATATTGATGTTTCAATACCCGTTTTTTACCTCAATCGTTGTTGTTATCTAACTCAAATTTATAAATGGGAAAAATTGTTTCTAAAATTAAATTGATTGTTAAAATATTTTTTCTGAAGAAACTTTGATTTTTATGAGTGGAATCATAGATTTATTTTTATTTCTGAATAACATGTTTCATAATTGACAAGTAAATACACAATTATAGGTGTCTTAGAAGTATTGCCAATATCTGCTTGGATTACCGGGTAAGTAAAAGTTAGGTCAGATGCAGGGTGTTAGGGAATGATGGTAAATCAGTTGATGAGGTTGTAAATCTTCATCGACTGAGATGGTTGGGCCACGTGTTACGTATGCCTGAACACCGATTACCACGACGTGCAATACCGACTAGTGTTGGAGAGATGGTTGGAAGAAAGTTTGGGTCGGCCAAACCAAAACGTGGTTTCAGTCCTTGAATTCACTAACTTGTGGTCTGAGCCATGTTGTTAGATGCAGACTACTTGATAGGGATCCGTGTGACTATCGTAGTCAATGGATGGAGACTCTTGGTGACATGGCTCAGAATCGACCACAATGTCGTAGGTGTATAAACTCTTTACCTTCCTTTAAACGTGAGATTGAAATTACTATGTAGGTTTTTTTCTACAAATTAATTCTTCCTTCCTGTATTATATGCTTATGTGCAATCTGACTGACTACATATGTATATGTATATATAATCTGTATGTGTGTGACATTATGTGCATATTCTTACTTACAGAATTAATGCACAGCAACTTTGCATATAATTTTTACATGAGTAAATGCACACCCGCATTGTATCTTTCAAATAATCACCTTACTCATTATCAAAATCATGATAATATAAAGATATTGTACATGTATTTACATAATGTTCATGTGTGCTTGAGTAGGAGGAGTTTACATCAGTTTCGAATTAATTGTACACTTGGTTTGTCTTTGAATACATCAACTGTAGTTGATTCTTTATTTAAATTAATACCTAATTTTGGAATGAGCTGTTATAGTTCAGTTCAACTGAATTCTTGTAAAGCACATGATTCGGTCTATTCGTATGTAATGTAGATAATTCATTCAATTCAATTAGATAATTACAGATTTCTGTAAACAGTAGATTGGTGTGATTTCTTAGCCTTTTGTCTGATTGTTTAAAATGAATGATGCAGAATTGATTTTTATATGTAATATGACTGATTGATTAACAGTTAGCTCTTGAATCATAACATCTGGTGGTGATGATAGATTCAAGTTTAGCTCGATCTGCTTCCCCATCTGAATCATATGTACACATATACACATTTATGCATACAAAAGTGTAATAGATAGAATCTTAAATTAATATTGTAGAGATAGCTAATTGAATAGTACCTCAATATGAACTACTGATAGCAGTCAGTAGCATGTATAATTTTGAAATTCATTGTCATAACTAACTGAAGTGTTAGACGAACTAGAGTTACGTTATTGTTATCACTACCTAACTATTCCTCATGTCAATAAACATTCTCTACTTACAATAGATCAAGATATATTGTTGTAACATTTGTAACTCACATACCCTCAATTTGTACAACATGTCATTTGTTCATGATTTACGTGAAACACAAAGCTGATTATTCAGCTTTAATTATATCCTGACCACCTTTCCAACTTACCACTTCACTTTCTCAAGATGGTGGAGGGAATTTGTAGTTCAGTTGAATGATTTTGGTGGAGTTTTGTTCTTTCAGCTGGATTCAATCTATCAACTAATTAGAAAAATCTTAGACAAATATAGGACCATGAATCAAATGAATGGAAATAAAGAAGTAAACATTGATAAGTTAAAAGTCAACCAATCAAGATCGAGGTCTAAAAGACAAGCTGTGAGTTATATGTGAAGAAATTCGAACACTTCAATTTTATTTGAAGTTTGTGCTAATGATGTCGTTCTGAGGAACGATGAAAGTTCCAGGACTATTCTATTTTAGCACAAAGAACAAAACTCCATCAAAACTTCACTTTTACATCTACATCTAAGTTTATTATTTCTTTTATTATTAATAATCATAAATTGATTGACAATGCTGTAAATCGTGTTGATGAATGTGTTTTGACCAAGTTCACTATGTTGATTGATTGATATTTGATTATTGGGTATTTATAGACATAATAATTAGATATGTAGGTTGAATTTAATGTGAAAATGTGTTTTTTGTTTTGTTTATTAGGTCAATTGAATAGTTAATTTTGTTAGCAATTATACTCCATATATCTATAATAATTATTTATAACTAGTTGTTGAATGGTACGCTGGTTAGTTTGACACTGGGAATTGTAATTACACGATTATGTTTTCAATATAGATGTTAACATCGTTACATTTATGTCTGTATCTGGATAGTTGGAGATATTCACCCTTCATTTCACTCACTCACTCACTCACTCACTCACTCACTCACTCACTCACTCACTCACTCACTCACTCACTCACTCACTCACTCACTCACTCACTCACTCACTCACTCACTCACTCACTCACTCACTCACTCACTCAACCTATGATTAATAAATGTTATCTTAATAGAACTCGTTAATACTTCCTACTATATTCACTTATACATTGAGTCTTTGTTCTTTTTCAATGTAATCATAAACATCATTCGCTCCTTCATTTCATTAAATATAAATCTAACCTTTATACAAAGTGATCAAAATATATATTTGAGATAAAAATACACATTTTGTTTCTTACTCTCTACTATAATTTTAAACAGCAATTACTTCTTATCTTTTCATAAATAAATTTAATTATAGATATGTATTGTGTTAAATAGTTTGAATTAACCCTCTCCTTAATATTCAAGACTAAATTCTGAATAGTCTCTATGACTCCCAGTCTTAACTATTATTTATCGATTTTAAAGTGTTGTCGTTTCTTGTTTGAATCTGTTCTATGATTGATTGATGAAGTTCTAAGGTTTATTTAACTAATTGTCGATAGTAATCTGTTTATTAATCTCTGTTCGGTTAATTATGATGGCAACTTGAAATCACTTTACAACATATCAATACCTAAGCATATTTTATGAGAGGTTTCTGTTTGTGAAGATACAAGCGATGATTTGAAATCAGTTCCTGAAGTCATTGACTGTGTCGACTGAGCCGTGTTTGCTGGATGAAGGTTGGGGTCTACGCGATTGTCCTGACTAAGGCTCGAAAATGTTGTTTGATATAACTTAGAGTAGGTCTCTATGCTGCTGATACATTCATCCTTTGTCCTTCTTTAAATCTCAAGTTTTAAGTTTATCCTGTACTATTTGTAACGCGAACTGATACTATTACCAGTGGTTGTATTATCAGTAGTAACCACATTTTAAGGACAAACAATCAAAATAAGGATGACCTTGGAAGTCACTTTTCATTCAGGAAACAGAGAGTGTCTCCATAAATGAAAAGCATTTCGCAATAATAGTAATAAAGCTTATTACGACTCAGTGATTGCAGAATGTTTATTAAATTTCCAATGCCTAACGTCTTTTTTTCACTCTTAATTTTTTAAAAATATCACTACATAATCTCATATATCTGAGTGTAAATATATACACTCTCAAGATTTTCCTGGTACGGCCGAGAGTGAGGAGAGTCCGCTCCCTTTATCTCTCGATATACCTTCATGTGGTCACGCATATACAGCTACTGTTAGGGAAGTCTTACTCACTGCCTTCTCGACGCAAGGGGGTTGTTTATGAAATTGACAGGACGGAAAGCGAATGTCTGACTCTTTAACCTCGGTTTGATGTATACAAAGGACCCATCTAGAGGAGTTGGAAAACCGTGATTCCAAACCAATGATGCACATGGGCTTCAAGATCCTGAAGGAACAAATTGAGTATGAATCTATTGTTGGCCACTGGTTACCATGGAACCGCATCTCACGTTGGTCTACTGCCTTTATATTAAAGGCTGAGGGAGTGACCTAAGAAAACCACCTGCTTGGGTTCGGCCACTTGGTCAGTATTCCAGTCCCTACGCAAATCAAATGACGAAGTGTAGCGCATATATATTCGCTGCGTCATTGTACTAATGTTTATGTGTTTAAGTAAATAAATAATATAACAAATAGTTTAGTGAAAAATTCATTATTGACTATAAAATTTTCATTCATAAAATTTCTGAAGAATTAACAAGATAGAGCTATAAGACAATGATATGGGAAATTCATACTTGGAAATGTTTATCTATTTTATTATTCTTATCTTAATGGCTCATTTATTATTTATTAAAAGGGCTTCATTAAAGCAATTTCATTTAGAGTTAAATGTAAACAAATTAGGTAGAAATCAATGAGCATTTATCGCGTTTAACTGTGTTATTT